AAATAAACAAATATTACAATTAACTCAATTCAATTAAATACCACTAAAACAAATAAACAAGTAGCCAAATAAACACATAAAAATGAAAAAAAAATTACAATAGAACCATAAAATAAATTTCCGAGACTATCCTTTTAAAATTAGGGGTATTACACCATCCACCTTCCAAGCTTTGATGAACGAGAAGGAAAAATATTAGTTTGGTCAAGGCAAGGTGCATTATCTCGGCCATATAATTTCCAATACTGGGATTACCGTTGATCCTGATAAAATAGCAGCGATGCAAGGATGACCTAAGCCTAAAATACTTAAGGCCCTAAGAGGTTTCCTCGAGTTGACTGGGTATTACTGAAAGTTTATCCAAAATTTCGGTAAAATAGCTAAACCCGTTACTGGAATGTTGAAAAAAAACTCATTTGAATGGACACCAGCTGCTGATAAAGCCTTTCAAAGGTTAAAGGAAGCAATGATAAAAGCTCCAGTGTTGGCTCTGCTCAATTTTTTAAAATAGTTTATTGTTGAATGTGATGCTGGCGGACCAGGAATTGGAGCTGTCCTAATGCAAGAACGTCCAGTAGTATTTTACAACCATGCCTTACAGGGTAAGAACTTGTTGCTGTCCACATATGATAAGGAGATTCTAGCTTTTGTATTGGCCATGCAAAGGTGGTGTCCTTATCTGTTGGGGCAACAATTTTTGATGCGAATAGACCAACGTAGCCTGAAGTACTTGTGGGATCAAAGGATTGCTACAACAGCCCAACTAAGATGGTTATACAAATTGATGGGGTTTGATTTTGTCATTGAAAATAAAAAGGGTAAGGAAAATATTGTGGGTGATTCACTCTCTAGAAGGGGAAATGCAGAAGGAGAAGAGGAACAAGGGAAAATTGTGGCCATTACTCAACCTTTTCCTAATTGGGTGGAGGCAATCAAAGAGGAGGTGAAGTCCAATCCTACTTTGCAGGGGATAGCACAACGGATAAAAAATGATGAAGCAGTAGGTCCATAGGAACTTAAAAATGGAATTATCTTATTTAAGGAAAGAATTCATCTTGATGAAAATTCTTCCTTAATTAAAGATATTATCTGTTAATTTCACAACAACACCCATGAAGGCTATCAAAAAACTCTCCAAAAAATACGCGCCAATTTTTATTGGAAAGGAATGAGGAATAACATCAGGAGCTTAATTGCGGTATGCGACACGTGTCAACGTCACAAGGCAGAACAACTCTCTTCGGCAGGCTTACTTCAACCTCTGCCAATTCCAAATCAGGTATAAGAATCTATGAATTTCATTGATAGACTACCTTTATCCAAACAAAAATCTACTATTTTTGTGGTTGTGGATAGGTTGCCTAAATATGCACTGTAACGACCCAAATCCTCATGGATCCGGATCATTAAACGGGTCATTACCCGACCTAAAATCATCCGAGGGTAAAACGGTCTTTTCACATTAAATTTAAATAATAAGGTCCAAAAGGGCAAAATGGTAAACTACTACAAATCAATAATTTGAGACTCAAGGGTATAATAGTCATTTACTTGCATCACACAATAAATAAAATAAGATCCGGGATAATATAGTCTTTTCGGTGGTCAAAATACAATTATTGCATTTTAGTAGGTCATAAAATAATTACGTGTAACCTCACTTGGGTGCCAAAGTGTAATTTAGTAATTACATATGTGACGTAAACCGGTTGACGTATATGCATCATACGTGCACTGGTTTGGGTTATGAACAGTGGTAATACCCACTGCCGAGATACCGGTCGACTTATGGGAAACCACACGTCGACTGGTTTAGAGAGTGTGCATCAATAACCCACTGACAAGATACCGGTCGACGTTTGGGAAGCCACACGTCAACTGGTTTAGAGAGTGTGCATCAATAACCCACTGACAAGATACCGGTCGACATTTGGGAAGCCATATGTTGACCGATTCTGGGTAATTCTCACTTCCACTTCCCACTGTCCTGTGCAAACCCATATATGCCAACTTTTGGTAATTTTCACTCACACCCTTACATTCACGTACATGTTTACATACATTTCAACACTAAATTACAATTTCAACAACCACGTTGTTAGTAAAATTTGCCCAATGGCCAAAATTACAAACTTATTTACATTCCCCAAAACTATGATTTTACATGAAATGGCCAAATATAAAATAGTAAAAAAATCATCTTCTAACAACTTTCAAGCTTGCGGAGGATTTTCATCCGCTATTTCCTTGCCATGACCTGAAAAAAATATAAGTATGGTGGGGTGAGCAATTTGCTCAGTAGGTGGCGCCTAAGACGCACCTCATGAGACCCCGTGAATCCAAAACAAAGAATAGGCCAATAGGAGTCGGGGTCATACAATGTAGGGGAAAATACAACATGGTTACCAATCTCTACACAATTAATAAGATGCAATGAAAATGTAATGCATGCCGATGTCACTCCCCATTTTCCCAATTTAATCATCGCTTTCAAATTGTTAATACAGCCCGCCCTTTGGTGACCCCGGAGCGACGCGAGAGGAGGATTGGCTAGTGTCCCTGACCCTTGGTACCCCCGCGGCGTCATTATGGGGCCCAGCTAGCTCAACCACGCTAGGGCGACTCCCTAGTCCCCTCTAGGCTATATTAACCCCCGGCCCTTTGGTACCCCCGCGGCGACTGGGTTTTCCAAAACACTTTCATCACATTCTTTCCCAAAACTCCCCATTTTCATTTCAAGAACAATTTCTTCCCTTCATGCAACCTAATGGTGTACATGCATGTCTCATGATCTCAATACTATAAAAATGAGGAATTTGACACAACACAAGTAAGCATGTTCTCATACTTTTAATATTTAAACAATAATTGATCATCACAAAATACGATAGGGCATACTTTCCTACAACATTCATAGCATGTGAACAATACAATAGGCATAACTCACAATATAAACATACTTTTCATATAGTACAATCAAGACAAGTCTTCACATATTCACATATATATAATCAAGACAATTCAGGCTACAATTAACATAATTAAGCATGCTATAACACAATTCATATAGATTAACTCACAAAGGTGCATGAATAATGTGAAATAGGAAGCCCCTACCTCAAATTGAGCAAAACCCTTAAAATGATCAAGAATTTTGAAATCCAAGGGAAGCACCAAAGCTGGAATTGCTTACACTAACGCGTAGAGCTCGTCGTGTTCTACGTTTCGCCTCAAACATCACTAAAAAATTCCAAGAATTGAGAGAGTTATCTTGACTCAAAGCTTGAAGCAAAAGAAGGAAGAAAAATGAAGATGAAAGAGAGGAAGAAGGAGAATAGAGGGGAGAGAGAAATGAGGGAGCAAAATAGTGGTCTCTAGACCACTTTTGAGATAGTGGTGGGCCCCACAGTTTCTTTTTATTTTCTCTCTTTTTTTTTTTTTTTAATCTTCCATTTACACCACATACACATATATAATGCACCACATACAAATACCACTTAATTCACATAATCTAAAATGCCTAAAAATGCAAATGGACCCAACCATCATCCCAAACGACAAACGTGAAAAGACATAAATACCCTTGTCTCTACAAATTTTCGAAAAAATGAAAAAGACTGAAAATTGGAAACGTTACATACACATTTTATTTCCCTTTCACATCCATACACCGCCATTGGAATCGCACAAGTTTTTTTTGATAATATTTTTAAGCTGCATGGAATGCTGACGATTGTTTGTGACCGTGATCCAACCTTCACAAGTATAGCTTAAGCTACCATCCTAAAATCGATGGCCAAAGTGAGGTGGTAAATCGAACGCTAATAACGTACTTGTGGTGCTTCACCAGTTCCCAACCAAAGAAGTGGAATAACTAGTTAGCTTGGGCTAAATATTGCTACAACACCAGTTAGCATTCAGCTATTAAAACCGAAGTTGTGTGCGGTCGACCTCCACCAACCTTATTATCCTACATTCCAGGGTTGGCTAAGGTTGAAGCAGTAGAGAGGCAATTAGTGGATCGAGATCAAGTCATCAAGGACTTACGGAATACTCTCAAGGAAACACAGTCACGTATGAAGAAGATTTATGATCGCTCCCATAAAGAAAGAGAGTTTATAGAAGGAGATTGGGTTTATTTAAAACTCCAACCTTATCGACAAACATCTGTATCATTGCGGAAGAATCTCAAGCTATCTCCTAAATATTATGGGCCATTCAAGGTTCTTAAGAAAATAGGAGCTGTGGCTTATAAGCTGGAGTTGCTGAAGGAATCCCGAATTCATCCAGTCTTCCATGTGTCCTTGTTGAAGAAAAAAATTGGTGAGCAAATTGAAGTTCAGACTGAGTTGCCCATGACAAGAGATGAAGATGAAACTCTCTACCCTAAACCACAAGTAGTTCTAGATCGTCGAGTTCGTAAGAGGAAGGCAGAAGTTCTCATCCATTGGCAAGGATTATCCCCTGCAGAGGCAACATGGGAGGACCTGCTAGCAATGAAAAATCAGTTTCCAGATCACGACCTTGAGGACAAGTTAACTTCTTTTGCTATTTTGTTGGTAGAGTTTTCTTAATTCTCTATGTTAGTTGGTAGAGTCCTCCCGATACTGATTTTCTGTTGTAAGTAGCTTCAATTTAAGTTGAAGGAATCATGAATGAAATTCTTTTTTCTTCTTTTCTTTTCTTCCCTTTTGGGTAGTTAGCTAAGAAATTTATTTATTTATTTATTTTTACTATTTTAACAAATTGGGCTTGTATCTCAAAGGTTAAGTGCTGCGGTCTCTTGGTGAATTTCTGGCCATATAGGAAAGACCCCCTTTCCCTCTCTTTTTCTTCCTCTACTCTTCATACCTTCCAATTTTCCTCCCTACCAAAACAAGATCTTAGATGTGGATGTCAGAAATTATATAGGAAAGCTGTTAGATGGCATAGTTCTCAACAGTTTCACCAATTTGATCATTCTGTTAACAGATGGTGCATACATAAGGAACTAGATAATATAGCAAGAAACAGATGTTTTGTTTCGGATGGCAAACAACATTAAACATGGATACAGAGTATCAGAAACTTAGGTAGTCAGACAGCTGCTCTACTAGCATTATATATAGTAATACAACATAAAATTCCCAATACTAGTAATTATTTAAAATAGACCAGGTCCCTGCTACTATCACACAGAATACATACGAAGAGGAAGCCGAGGCTCAACTACAGTGTCAAGTGGGAACTTTTTGGGTGTTGAAAGTCCAAAAATTTCCTCCATATTCAGATCCTCTACCTTCATATCATCCGGCAATCTCCATGTAAATCCGTGCAGAAGGTTGGCCAAACTCGATTGAATCACCTTTAGTCCGAGACTATAACCCGGGCACATCCTCCTTCCCGACCCAAATGGCAATAACTCAAAGTCTTGTCCCTTGACATCGATCGCCTTCCCAATGAACCTATCGGGGCAGAATTCGTTGGGGTTGTCCCACAATGCAGGGTCCCTTCCAATAGTCCACACGTTCACGAGCACTTGGGTTCCTTTGGAGATGTCGTACCCAGCTACCTTACAATCTTCTCGTGCTAGTCGTGGCACCAGCATCGGTGCCACCGGGTGCAATCTCATTGTCTCTTTGATGATAGCTTCAATGTAGGGTAGGCTTGGCATGTCCTTCTCTTTTACCCATCTCTCTTTTCCAATAACCCGGTCCAGCTCTTCCGTTGCCTTTTTGAAGATTTCCGGCTTCTTTAGTAGCTCTGAAATCGCCCATTCTACAGTCACTGCCGAGCTCTCAGTACCACCAGCAAGTAGGTCCTGTCGAGAAACACAATTAATTCAATTGACGTTGACTAATCCGAGTCCTATTTTGCTGTGAAATTCATCTTATTTAATAGTAAAGACTAAACCAAGTTGTACAAATGAAGTACCAGTACAGGTGATTTTGTAGAATGCATGAATAATACTTCCTCGGTCTTTCCAAAGGGGACTTTTAATTTGAGACGGAGGGAGAGGGAGTATATGTATAGAGAGACAATGATTCAAGGACCATAATTGATTGGTGGGTCCTGCCTGTCATCACTTTCTCCATAACATTATGTGGTGTTGGGATAATGCCAGTTCCATAGACAAGCCTAAAGCTGAAGCAGCAGGGGCATCTTAAAGCTATGAGTGGTGATGGGGAGTTGGTAAGTCTGTATCAAAAAAAAAATATTCTTTTTTCTTTTTGGTGGTAGGTTAAGTTTGATTCTGTCCAATTCAAGTTAACATTTTCCCAACTGATTAGAAATTTTCCTCCTGTGTTCTTATTTAGCAATTGAAAAAGATGGAAGGAAACAGAGGTGCTCTGTTTTTTTCTGTAGGGTAGGAAATAGAGTTGTTGAACTTGGGATAATAATAAACCTCTTATACCCCCCCCTCTCTCTCTCTATCCGTGTGTGTGTGTGTGAAGTGAGCTAGTGATTCTGATACTAGAAACAAAATTCAAGCAATTTTATAGAAGAACTCGTTCAAATTATGAAATGATCGGAGAAAAAACATCAATTGTCAATCCATAATTTATAGAAGTACGTGGCATGAATTACCTTGAATTTGACACTAATTTAATTCATCTTTCTCATACTCAATCTGATGCAAATTTGATTGTTTAAGATTGTATATATGAATTAGAAAATGAAATTGAAAGATACAGATCATATTCATACCTGAGTAAAAGCCTTGACACCATGCCTCTCAAGCTTCACTTCCAGGTCAGGATCATCAGCCAGCTGCAAAAGCACATCCACCATATCTGTAGCCACATAGTTCTCCACTTCCTTCCTCCTAGCATTGTGTTCATCCAACACATACTCCAAAAACCTATCAAACTTCTTGCTCAATGTCTTCATCCTCTTTATATACCCCTGCAAGTCCAAGAAATCAATCCAAGGTATGGAGTCACCGATGTTAAACACACCATTCAACAAGAACAGCTCATCCAACATCTTCTTGAACTCGTCCGGTGATACCACGTCATTGTCTGTCTCGTCCAAGTACCTCTTTCCGAGCACCATCCGGCTTATCACGTTCAGACTCACCGTGGACAGATGGTCCTTCAAAGTGACCGGCTTGCCGGAAGATTTATATAGGTCTTGAAGAAGAGAGTTCATTTCTTCGGTCCGGATGTACTCGTATGACTCGAGTCTTTTGACGCTAAAAAGCTCCATGAGACACATTTTCCGAGCTTGGCGCCAATATGGTCCGTAAGGGGACCATGTGATGTCGGAGTAGTTGTAGGTTGTGTACTTGCCGGCTGCATTTTTTGGGCGGGAAGCGAAAGTGACGTCCATGGTCTTGAGGAAAACCTTGGCCATGTCGACGGAGGAGCCGACCACGACAGGGAAGGACCCAAATTTGAGTTGCATTATGGGTCCATACTTTTGGGAGAGGCCGTGGATGGAGCGGTGCGGGAGGGATCCGATGAGGTTCAGGTTTCCGATGATCGGCCACGGTTTTGGGCCGGGCGGTGGGTTGAGTTTCCGGCGACGGAGGTGGGAGGAGAGGAGAAAAAGAGCTAGGGTGGCTATCCATGCTGCTATGTATGCAGCCCAAGTAGTGGGATTTTCCATTGGTACGTGGTTGTTGTGGTGGTGGTTGTTGTTTTGGAGGTTGGAAGTGGTGGTTGTTGTTGTGGAGGTTGGAAGTGGTGGTGGGAGATGAAGATGCACTGCAAATATGGGGATATTTATAGTGGAAATAAGAAAGAAAGTGGTGATGGTATGATTTGTTACTCCCTTATAATTGGTGTTACTATTTTTATTTTTATTTTTATTTTTTTTTATTTTTTTGGAGGTATTGTGACTGCTGCTTTCTGTCCCTGAGTACCATTCGTTTCATGGAAGTTGTTCCACTCTTGTCTGAGAGTGTGAACACATGCCCTGGTCCACTGCAAGTTGTTGTGGGTTTGTACAATCTTCAACAATGAATGAGTGAAGTGTTTGTAATTGTAATCATATGAATCAAGAAATGTATATTCTAGGTTACAATTTTTTTACTTGTGACATTTCATGACGTATTTATATTGGAGATTTAATTTTTAATCTAACCAATTTGATGGGTTGAGAAACTATTTGTACCCAAAAAAAAAAAAAAAAAAAAAAAAAAAAAAAAGAAAAAAAAAAAAGGAGAGGAGTTCGAACTCATTAGTAAAACTTAGGAGTGGGCGGGTGTAGGCAAAATGTACTTGCCTAACAAATAATAATAATAATAATTTATATATCAAAATTATAATAATAACTTAAGAAAAAAATCTTAAGTTTATATCAGTTGTACTATATCTTGATGTACTACCAGTGTGCTGCAAAACCATATTTCGAAATTTTGATTGTATAACATACAATAGATAATCCCAGTCCATGCAAAGTCTTTCATTTTTTCATTCTTTTCTGAAAGTTAGTGAAGAAAAGTCATGGAAACTAGTAAACAAAGAAAATTTCAAGGAAAACTCTGGTAAATTACACTGCACTTATCTTTAATTTAATTATTGTCCAACTTTAATTTTTTTTAAAAAAAGTCTATGCAAACTAGTCACCAAAGAAAACATAAAGAAAGACTCTGGTAAATTTCCCTGTAATTACCCTTTATTTTACCGTTGTCCAGCCTGAATCAAATCAAATGTGTGTGTGTGTATATATATATAATCAATATTATTCAAAGGTGTCATGACTAATGAGAAATTACAAGGAAGTTTAATATACCTACCAAACTTTAATAAAGGGGTCCCCTTTAAAATGAAAAATAGTCCAAACGCAAGAAACATGCAAGGAAGGGGGTATTAGTGCTTGACTTGTTGACTCTACTTTTTTTTTCAAACCATCATTTTCTTTTCTCATTACAACTTTCCTGGAAAAAAATTTACCCCCAACTTTGGACTTTCAAAATGGTTTCTGGTTGACCCGAGTCAATGCAGCCGGTGGCTCTCTATGTTCACTGGCTGACAATACTTCAACAATCAAACACTAACTTTTCAATAAAATTATTATTGCATAATGTATATATAATATTTTACTGAAAGCATATTGCAAGTTTCCACGTGAAAAAATAATATTGTATAACAGTACGTTCATTACAGTTGGATTTTAAAATAACATGGTCTGTTATTTTATCTTACATTTGTAATTATTATAAGAATGAGAAAAAGAGAAATATTAGTATATATATGTAGAGAGAGAGAGACTGAGAGAGAGGGAGAAATTTTGCCAAAGTTAAAGATTTTTTTTATTTATTATTTTTTATCAAAGATATTGAGAAGATTGACTGATCCAGGTTTGCTAGGTTTGTTGGTAATGTGACTTGTCTTTGTACCTCTGTCCAAAATTAAACATTGATAGTCTGTTTATTCAATTGATTGAAAGTTTTTTTTTTTTTTTAAGTTAACCCGGGATGTTCAAGAAAACACGAATCCTTAAGATCTCTTAACAACCCGATTAATCTCCGAACACCCGAAAGGGCGCCTCCCCACTCAAGCCGGATCCCTAGTCGCACCAGTTAAGTCAATGCAGGAATAGCGAATGTTAATCACAAAAAACATATAATAAGATTCGAACTCTAAACCTTAAACTTGTTAAATTTTAAAGTTCAACAAATAAGTCGTTAGGCCATATTCGAATTAGATTGATTGAAAATATGTTATATCAATGTGATTGTAGAAAAATCACATTTACTGAAATTGTGGAACATTTTCATTTACACCTATCATGTATGTTGTTGGAGTTTGTCCACAACCACCAACCAAATTGACATCAAATGTCAAATGAACCCAAATTACTTTTGCAACCCCATTGAATTTGGGTCCCAATTCAATTTGAAGTCTAAATCATTTTAATAATAGTACTCGGTCCTTACTATCACCGGTCTTATGAAATAGATGTGTATGCGTTTATGGGTAACATTATCATATGCTTGCATATTTGTTTGCTCCATGTGAGTGTGCACGGATATAGATTCTGTATGTTTATCATATTTTAATTATATATAGAATATAGATAATTTGTGTGTACGTACAAAGAGAGAGATGGGGGAGCCTCAAACCATTTCTTATTTTGGTAATTATAACCATTTCTCACTAAGCAACCAAAAAGCATTTCAAAAGACCTTAAGCTATACTTGATGGAAGGGAAATAAAACAAGAGTGAGGGTGGGAGGGAGGAAAGCGATGGAACAAGTTTTTGTTGTTTGGTATAAGGAAAAATTGGAGGGAGGTTAAGGATGAATGGATGGACGAGGCATCCTAGTCTAATATTCGAATTTTTTTTAAACGGGACAAGAAAGAAGAGAAAGAAATGATAAATCTAATATATTATGTAAAAGAGTGACATTATTATCCTTCATCATTTTATGAAAAATTACATAATAAACGTGTAAAGGTAAAACAAATATAAAAACCCCATTTGAGGAAGCAAGAAGAATGAAACAAATCCTCTAGCCTTTCTTGCTTAGGAGAAGAAACACTAAAAATGACTTTAGAGGCTACTTGTGTCTCTCTAAACTGCATCAGTGCGTTATCTCTCTCAAACAACTCTCAGTGGTGAATCGGAGTTGAAGGAAACCCTTAATCTTTGATTATATAATTAGTGTTCCACATTTAGGTGGGGGTAGTGGGAGCACCAATATAACAGTAGAAGAAATGTGCAAGAATTTTTTTTATTTAAAAAAGGGCATTCATAAAGTTTTAAAACAAGTGTTAGAAGATACTCAGTTATTGTTCTATTTTGTCTCATCGAAGCGTCACACCCTTCTCTCTTATACTTATTCAAATAAATAGAGAATTATACATTCGATTCACTAAAGAGCAAGGATAAATCATCCTCCCTTCCTATGCTCTTTTTCATCTATTTTTTCATCTCGTATCAAAACAAAGCATTAAAATATGAATGCTAGAGTATACTAAATAATATTGTTTTACATGATTTTTTTTATATTTTTTTTCCCTTTATTTTACATGATTGACCAAGGTTCGTTGGTATGTCACTTGTTTTGAGAAGGCCTTTGTATTTTATCAATAAATAAATAAAATCCTCCCTCAGACCTTTGTATTTGACCAAGGTTTTTTGGGATGTCAATTGTCTAGAAGTCTTTTGTATAATAAATTTGTTATTTTTTAATTTTTTTAAAAAAACCTTACATTATATATCTTAAAATAATACTACTTCGGTCAAAAAATAAACATATATTATCTTCTCGAATTTCAAAATTTTAAGAGCTAAACATTAATGTATTGTTTCTTTTTAAAGTTATAAAATTAATCCAACTAAGTATAAAATTTATTTGATTAATTTGACAAAAATTTTCAAAATATAAATACAATTTAAAAAATTTAATAGTATGAAGTATTCCGAAAAAGGAGGACAACCACTCATTTTAGAACATCCAAAACAAAGGGAATAATTATTAAGATGAACTTATTCAAATGAAAGTGTGAAGTCAATTATTGCGGCCATTTTTTATTTACACCTAACAAGTTTGTCGAGTTGTCCACAATTACCAATCGAATCAGCGTTAACAAACTAAATTATTTTTGCAATCCCCACTAAATATATAGATGTTTAGGCATTTAATTAAATGGGTATATACACATTATCATATATGCTTGTCAAAAAAAAAAAAAAAAAAAAAAAAAAACGCCGGAGGAGGAGAAGAAGGAGAAGGTTCCTTTTAGTTGTCTACTAGGCTCTCTCGGAAAAAGTCTAGGATGTGTCGGTCATACCAAACTAGTGTACGAGGAAATTAGTGATATGTCCTTTGTAACTTGAGAGAAGAAAAGTCACTTGAAGAAAAAAAAAATTTAAAAAATTAAAAAAGTTTTAGCCCGACAATGATTAATAGATAATTAGAAGAGGGAGAAATCAAATCTAAAATTAATAAGATGGAAGCACTTAAAACTTAATCCTTTTACCAGCCGTTCAACACCATCACAAAAGATTTGCAATGTCTCCCTGCAATTATAGAAGTTATCATCGAAACGTGAATTCACACCCAACAATCACACCATCAATCTTTGTTTGCATATATGCCTTGCAAGTTGTACATATGATATGACGTTACTTTCAATTATTAAACTAGTGTACGGGGGAATTATTGACTTGCAGCAACTACTGCCCAATTATTGATTTGAATATGCTATAATATTACGGAGTATTTATTTTTTTATATTTTATTGTAATATATATTCGAGGTTGTAAGTGCCAAAAAAAACTGAAAGACATACTAACAAAGAGAATTATGTTATTGCTTAGGTGCAAGGCCTCTAGGGCTAAATAATCCCAATGGTGGGCTTGGTGGTCTTGACACGTGTTTGATCCCTGTTGGTTAATGGCTTGCACACGTTTTTTTTTTTTTTTTTTTTCCCTCCACAAAGGCCTTTTTAAGTCAGCGTAGATGAAAGCTTCAATGGTGGTTGTTGAAATCGTGTAGTCATGCAATGCTAGAAAATATAAAAAAAATTCATAATACCTACCGCTAAAAACTTATTATTAGCTCATATAACCTTGTCAGACCACATTAATTTCTTATATTAAAAGGAGATTTTATAAATTAAAAAAGCTTCAAGTACTTAAGTGCATTCACCTGACTCTTAGAATATGTTTGGTAAAGTGAAAAAAAAAAAAAAAAATGATAAATTTAGTTAGAAAGAAAAAGAAAAAGAAAATGAGAAGATAGTGTTCATTCTTTATTCATGTTTGGTTGACTAATAAAGAAAAAGAAAACAAATGA